AGCCCGCGAGTGAGGGCCCCACCAGAAGACTCTGTCTTGAGCTGGGCACAGAATAGCTTTATGCCAGCTCTTCGTTGATTTCTCCAGCCACCCACGGACCGCAGGGAAATGCCAACAAGGCAACTCTGACATCCAGCCCTGAGATGCACTGAGCTGCAAATCAGTGCCTTCAATCCCTCAAGCCCGAGCGCCGTCAGGAGAAGAATACTGCGACGGCTCCAAACGAAACTTTGTCAAAAGCTGCAAAGGCCCAATACTCAAAGCTCTGGCCAAAAACCGCAACCCGGCCTCTTTCTTGGGCGCTGGGATTCCCACGACTCGCTTGGGCCCTGAGGCTGGGGCGGCCGAAGTCTCGGCACCTGAAAGAAGTTCAGCTCTTGAGGTTTTATAAGGTCGCAGCCCAAGCACTGCCCCCCCCACCCGATACAGCTCCCCTGTGAAACCTTGGGGAGACCCTCTATAAGGCTCTATAAGGCTCAATAAGGCTCTAAGGCTTCAGCTCGAAGTTGCCGCCTCCACTGCATCTCCTGGCACCAGCTGACATGCCGCTCAATCTGATAGCTGCCTTCTGAAACACCTACCCCGAAAAGTCCAAAGGCACATGCGTGGCTCCTAGAAATCTCGCCTCCAGGTGGCCCTCTACAGTTTAGAGGCTCTCGCTTCTCTTTTGGCCCCCAAGCAGTGAGGCATGCTTCTGAGTCGGCGACCCAGTCAACCTACACTCGTCTCAAAGTTCCCTGACTTCTCCAAGCTCCTTTTCCCTGCCACCCCCCGGCCTGGCTGTACCACACTAACCTCCCAAGGAGTTGAAGGTTGACTTTGGGATTTAGGTTCAGTTTTCTGCGGTTAAGAAGGGAAGGGACTCCAGCCTTCAATGCGAAGAGCGATTCAAGGAAAATCAACACCGAAACCATCCGAGACCGGCCCAAGCAGCCTCAACCAAATCCCGCAGCCTCGTCGTCGCCGAAGCGCTCAGACCGCCTAGGGCACGATGATTTGTCGTCGTTCCTTCTTCTTGGTCCCGAGTCCAACTATCCAACTACCCATGGTTTCACGCCCAGTCCTGAGGCCGGTGCTTCTGCCGCTTCTGCGTTTCCTCCTCGTTCACCTGGTTTGAGGTGGATTTGAGGTGGTCTTGAGGTGTTTTGGGTGTAGGCTGCAAAAAGGGTATGGCTCGGTCAGGGTCTTAAGGATTTCGGGCATGACTTTGCTTGGCACGGAGCGGATCTTCTGCAACAGTTCTATTCCTCCAAACGGCCCTGCTGGACTTCGATTTCAGAGGTTAGACACTCAGTGTATTTTGTCGCTGCCACGACAGGAGCGGCGCTGACAACTGGAATGAACGGACTCATCAAACGAAACCTTTTCCTCCGAAATCCTACTGTCAGATCGCCAGCTTGGTCATCGCATATCCACGGCCACAAAAGCTGATGCACACGCAAGCCCATAGAAACTGCCAGCCGTGCAGGTATCAGAAAAGCCACACACCACCATGCCAATCCAAGGCAAAGGTCCAACAGATTATTTCCTACGTTTTACCTAACGTGTCGATCTACAACTCCCTGATAGCAGTGTATCATAAAATCGAAAGCACCCTTCTTATGATCAGGTTGCCAAAGGCTTGTCAAGAGGTGGATGTGGGTGAAGCCACTTCCCGCTAGACTGTTCAAAGCAAGCTTTCACTTGTAATAATCGGTATCGTTGTCCGACGTGCTCCGCGATGAAGTGCTGGTGGAGCTTCGTGCCAACCCGAGGCACGCAAACTCAGGACAAAAGTGGAATCCATTCCAAAATCGAAACAACCCAGCGTGCACTCACACGTGTCCATATTGCAACGGCAACACTCAGCATGATTCTCTTCGTTGTGAGTTGGTGGCTGGACGTCATCTCATTTTTTGCAAAAATGGATGTGAGAAGCTAGAGCCGAAATGACAGCTGCCCATGACACGGCCTAAGAAGGCTTTAAACCCCTTGAATTCAACAACGTCTGGGTCCTCTCCGGAGGGTTTTGTGCCAATCCTAGAACCATAAACTGTCCGCAGGGTTTTGAAAGCCCAGAGTGCCTGCAGTCGCTTCGTGCCAGCCTGGTGCGGTCAAGAACGTATAGCGCTTTGGGGCCTTTCGGTAACACTCGTGCTGTTGGATCCTGCAACCTTGTTCAACCCCAAAAGTAGAAAGTGCTGGCCAGCTTTAGCCAGTGAACCATTACCAGGGTTCGTTTCTCCAAATCCGACAGGGCCTACACGTGAACAACATTTGGTGGGTTTCTGTGCGCTTTGCATGTTGGGACTTGGGAGACTTACAATTCGCCTTGAAATCTGGCCGGTGGCGTCTAGAACAAGCAGACTAGGATCTGGTCTCCTTCGTCTCCTTCCCCCTCCTTCTCTTCCCTTCCCAGGCTGTGGGCCCCTCCTTCCCGGAATGCACCACTTGACTGTCCTTCGTCTGCCATGCGCACGCTACACCCCACTTTGCCAGCCCGGCCGCAACGGCGCGCGTAAGCATTTACAATTACACATTACAAACCGGCTCCAAAGCTCAAATCCGTGTGGCGAGTCCTGGGCAATCTATGGCAGAGACGGCAGAGATGGCAGTCCTTCCCTTGATTTTAACTTTTCTCAGGAGTTCCTGAAATGGCCCCCCATTCTGCCGGCCTTGGGCTTCGCCTTCGCCTTTCCTTTGCCGCCCCTGGGACACACAATGGAGGAGACATTGAGACATTGGAGGGGCGTTTGTTGAAAGGGCTGCTCTGATTCAGCGGGCTCTTTGGGGTTTAGAAAACTGCTTTGTTCGCCACTCTTTGTCTTTCCCTACCCTTTCGAACAAAGGCCTTGACCTTACTCTGTATGCTTCTAAAGCTTCCCGCAAACCTTAAGGTTTGGTGTTGAGGCTTGGCGGTTGGGGCCACTCTTTCCGTCAAGATGCTGCCGCGGACGTCCACCTGAGGCCGGGCTTTGGGGGTTTCAGTTGCCCTCCAGGAGTGAGGATCATCATGGATCATCGGGGTTCGCCAGATCTCAAAATTCCAAAGCCACGGCGTCGACACCGTGCCGACATACGCATGACCTCACCCTCCAAACGCGAAACTTTCATCAAACTTGAAACTTTGGAATTCGCAAACTCGACCAGGGCTCAAACTTTGAGCTCCAAACTTTCGACTTCGACAGGCTTCAAACTCTCGAACTCGTCACCTCGAAATTCCGTCGAACTCCAAACTTTCACACTTTGATCTCTTTGGAAGTCGAACTGCACGAAGGCTAGGAGATTGAGTTTGAAAAGACGCTCGACTTCGAACATTTGAACTTTCGAACGTCTGAACTTTGAAGGGTTTAGAACTTGCAAAGCTAGAGAGTTTGCAGTGTGAAAACCCCGCGTATTCTCAAACTCCGAACTCGAACTCGCAATTTTCGAACTTTCGAACTTCGCGATCTCTCAGACTTTCGAGCGTGAAAGTCTTCGAACTCTCAAACTCTCAACTTCGAAGGGCGTCGCTCGTGACTCAACGATGCCTTGACGCATGGCCATCATCTGATTGCGATGAAAGACCTGGCAAAAAGCGGGCACCAGGACGTGAGACCAAAGATAGACTAGCAAACCCATCAGCCCTGACAGACAGGTGGAGTCAAGATGAATATACCCTGAACACCGTCACGGCCAAGGATTTCAGCATTTTGCTCAGGGTCTGCTTGGCAAATCGGTTGATCGAGGGCCGCTCTTTTGATTAGCTCCACTACTCCAAACCTCTAAGCCCTGCGCCAAACCCCGTGCTCTTTCCACCAGCACCTGACCTTGGAGCCTCCAAAATCCGCTCAAACTCTTGCAACTCCAAGCCAAATAGCCAGATGCCTCTGCGTAGTGCATGGGCGACATGGCCTTGACACACTTTTGAAGATTAGGGCACAGGGGCTACCACGCCCTGGACCTTGCTGCAACTTTGCCATGGACGTCTGACAGATGACGGGGTTCAGGTCGTTGGGATTCTGGGACTACGCGCTCTTGGCTTCAGGGCTCGCGCATCTCTCCAAAGCCAGGCTTCCGGGCCTTGAGGCTTGCTATGGCTTGCTTCTACCGATTCTACCCTTCTTCCCTAGAACCCTACACCAAGCAAGCCGTGCAAAGCCGTGCAGTTTCGGATCCACCTTCGGCACCGATCGTTTGGCCTTCTTCACCTCGGGTGAGTCACGAGGCCGTATTTTTGTCTGCTGCCGGATGGTCCACAAGGGCGCCTTGTTATGAGATGTCTTATTGAAGCACTTCAATGCAGCAGTTCTGTGCCCTTCCAAAACTAAAGTCCAAAGGCTCTGCAACCTGCATCCGGAAGCCACTGTCCAAGTTGTTAAGAAATCCGCGAGCCCAGAACCTCACAAAACTGCATGACCCTCCTTAAGGTCATCTTCAAGCAAAGTCACATCCTCGGAAGTGGCCAGGCGCATCTGCAAGAAGATGGGGGGTACATCCTTGCGGGGCCGAGGAGGCTTCAAGGCGGGATTTTAACTCAGGCGCTTCGAACATCCACAATTTGGTGTGAGAAAAACAACTTTCAGGCGAAGGTCGTCGGAAGTGTTTGGGCACATGTGCCTCCAACCACATCTTCATCCTTACACCCAAGACCGCCGGAGTACCTCGCCAGCCATTCTTAACAAGAAGTGGGTAAATTCACAACTCTACGTACCTCATAAACCCACCCTAAACCTCAAGATTCAACAGAAAAACACACACACACACACACAAACACAAAACACCATCCACAACCTTAGAAATGCCCACCCAAGCCACCTCGCTCACGAGGATGTCGGGCGTTCTTCTCCATGGCTCGTCCTGCGAAGAGGGCGGACCTCCTAACCCTGCAGTATGAACATGTCGGGAATTCGAGAACTCTCTCTCTCTCTCTCTTTCTTTTTCTGACTCTCTCTCTCCCTCTTTGTTTCTTTCTTTCTTTGGGGCTTGGAGGGGGAACCCTCCGCGCAGACTGCGTGCCCCGATCCCGCGTCACCACAGAA